ATATATATATATATATATATATATAATATTATACCAATGATAATATCATTTTTCAGTCACTAAAATATGAAAAGAAAAATTCAAAATTAAAATAATATAACTTATAAACATATTTAAAATAAAGTGATTAAATTAGAATTAAGATACATAATATTAAAATGTATAAGTTATTATTTATTTAGTTTTACGACATTATATTATTTATTAAATGGTAAGAAATACATGTTTAATTTTAAAATGTTAATTTTTATTTTTAAATAAAATAAATATGTTGACATAATGATTATAGTATTGTTGTTGAAGTATGGTGGTATGGTTTTAAATCCCACGTTAAAAAATTTTCACTACCCAAAAAGGAAAAACAATTCCACGTTTAAAAGCTTTAGCACTTTTTATCAATTTAGCTATAAAAAAAACTATGAATTTAGTTCTCATCTTTACATGTTATGTGAAGTGTCAACTATTACGTATCACGCATGACATCAGCACAGGAGGTGCTTGCTCAACGAAGGGATTGGCATCATTGTGCCCGAGCCCAAGGAAAAGAACCCGCAACAAACCAAATCAATGACTACAACGCTTTTCATTCTCTTTTTAAGGTTCGAGGCTTCAATCATGAAATTATAAAAAAAGCAGTTACTATTTTAAGAGGGACAAAACTACAGGTTACTCCTTATACAGCTTTGAGCATGTGCATCTTTTGTGCACAGTAAAAGCAGCATTCTTTCTCATGAATCCTATAAGATTAGATATTTAGATGTTAGATATTTATTTGCCCAAACACTAGCTATATGCAAAATATGAGCTGCTGTTTCTATAATTGCTTATAAAAAAGTCGCTGTAAATTAGGCCATTGGGGCAAGAAAATCCCTCGAGTGTGCACACCTTGAAAAATGACGAGAACAAGTTTTTCCAAATTTCGACAACTATGCCCAATTTTTCAATATACATAGACCACGGAAATTATCAAGATACAGATTTATCCTCATTTCAAGAATTATAAAGTTTGAATTGCCCCAAACAAGGGAAAAAAACGGGGCCTTATAATCTCAATTTCTTTTACTATGGGCACTTCTTTCATGCCTCATGCCTTACTCTAATGGCATACAGGTTCCTATGATCTCCAACCTTTCATGGATTTTAATATAGTTGAGTCATAAACAACATATCAGTATATCCTGACCAAATTCAGGAAATGGATGACTTGTAAGTGTACTATACCGCAACTCCTATGGACGAACCAAAAATAACTGAAAGTTGGAGACTGAATCTAGTTAGAAGAGGTTTCATGCAAGGCAATCCGCTTTCATCCCATGCCGTACAATCTATAGCAGAAACTCCTCTGAGGATATGGAAGAACATTTTAAATCATATCCTCCATCATCTCTAATGGGAACTACGGTTAACAAAGTACTGGTAATCTGGGTGTTTGACCTGCAATGTATGTAGCCAGACACCAGCATCTTGCAATAAAGAATCCAGTTTTTGCCACTCAGAGTCTCTGTTAGGAGCCAAAATTGAGCCTCTCAACTTATAAGAAGCAAGGGCAAAAGGGTGAAGTGATATATCTAATGATCCCTCAACTCCATGGACCTTCCTGCCACCTCTACAAGGATGAGACAGTGGTTGACTTATCACTGTGACAAATAAAGAGATAAGAAATCAGGTACAATAAATGAGAAATTCACTACTTGCATATCTAGAATTATCAGAATGAAAGAGGAAAACATACTTGGATAGTGAACTGACATTGACAGGGAATGGAAGGTTAGGAAACATGCATCCACCCTCTTGAGTGATGATCCGACTGGTATTCTGTAAATAGGATACCTGGACCCGAGTTCAATTTGTTATGAAGACAAAGAACAATTTAGGGATAACTTAAATGACAAAAACAGATGAACTTTTTGACACCTACCAGGCTACGGAAAACCAACTAAAAGGTGATATATCACAGCTCCTATACTTCTTAAGAAAGGGAAACTCAGAAGCAAGAATAGAAACCTGAGAGGAAAAGAAAGCGTTAGCGCTCAAATCAGTGTGAAAATTTAATAGGTATATCTGAAAAGGCAGGACTTGCCTTGTCATGGAAAGGAGGGCGAAAATGTGGCTGAGTTCCTTCAAGATATTCATAGACAAGCTGCCCAGGTGAGTTGCTTGTCTCATTGTTAGAACCAGCACCATTGTTGTCCTCCTCGCCGAGCCTTCTGGTACTGTTTCATACCAACAATTAAGATGCTGAATAACTATGCGTGTTAAATATCTAATGGAGGCATGAAGATGTCTTGTTTTCAAAGAAAATAATGGAAAACAAGATCATGAAATGGAAGCATAATTTGGTTCTGACATAGCACTAAATAGAGGAAGGGATATCACAATCCACTCCAAGAAATTTAATGTTTTGCTACAAACTGACACAGAGAAAAATGAAAGAGAATGTGAATTGTGAAAACACCATACAAAATTTACAAAAAAGTTTCACAAAAGTCCATCATCCATCAAATAAGACGATTGTCCTGCATACTTTGAGGTCAATGTGCAAACACTTTGGTGAATTTCACACCTGAGCAACACCATACCAATGAGAACCATGTAAACTGTATTTAGAAAGATCCATTATCAATTTAGCCAACCAAATTTCACACCTAAAACTAAATGTCTTAGAATTACCAAAGAGTGAGTATCATGCCTCACTAATTTACCACATAAGACTAAACAAATGACCATTTATTGCAAGCCAAGTTGTCACTTATTGGTTCACTCAATCTCCCTTCACTGAAAAAGCACAAAGAGCCAAAAACATCATGGCTGTTGCTGGATTACTCCTCTAAATACAGCATTTACCATAGAAAATGACAAAAATCCATCCAACCAAGCACCAACTGCATTTGCTACAACAGACAGACTAAACAATAAGAAATCAGTTTGAACAGACAAGTTGTTCCATATTCCATAATCAGCAGTCAGAAATAGGCCCAAGCACAAGTAGCAAACCAGTAAAGACCAATTTTGAAAAAAAAACAGCAACATTCGTTTGATGAAGCAAAACCAATGACAAAAAAAGGAAAAAAACAAAAATCATGTGATGACAAAGGGACAAAACAAATTATAAGCATTGATCAACCAAAATGAAGAGAAAAACGAAGTACCTCAGCGCATAGAGCTGCATTGCGGAGAGAGACGGGACGTAGTACATTTTTGTGGCTTCGTCTACGCCTCCATCTCCTATCACCGGCACCTCAGCTCCATACGCACTCCATTCTCTAAAAGCTTCCCATAGATCCTCGAGTCTAAAGTATGAACCGGTACTGGATTCACCGGTTTTGCGTCCCTTCATTCTAGGCTGCACCACGAACAAGGAAGTGATCAAATAAATAATCATAACAAACACTTTTTCACAGGTTAGGTGATCAAAACCATATCCATATCCTATTTTTTTGTGAACCAATGATTAATGCAATCAAAGTAGCCTAAGGAACAAGGCACGAAACACGAAAGCGAGCGAATTAAACAAACGTTTGAATTTAGCACCTCGCAGGAGGATTGAGCGGGGACGGAAGGGGTGAGTGCGGCCAAGAGACGATCCAAATTACTTGTTTCGGACAATGTGAGTTCGTCGGAAGCGGTTTTGGAATGCGGTTCGACCGCGCCGGAGCCGAACCGTCTCTGCTGCTGTCTCTGGTTTTTGCGGAAAACCGGAGGGCTATAGAAACGGTTGGAACCGGTGGTCCTAGTGAGGGAAGAGGCGCTGGAGTTGGACATTGTGGAAGAAAGGATCAGAGATTGAAGCAAAAAAATAATTTTGAAGAGAGAGAGGCAACGAGGGAAGGGTTAAAGAGAATGAATATCGAATTGTATGGAAGCGTGAGTACGAGAAAGTGGTTGTGGATTTGGATTTGGGGAGAAGCAGCAGAGTGAGTGAGTGTGGTCTTATGTAGTGATTGACTGAGGAAGATGAGAGAAAGAATGAGTAGAGTGTTTTTTTTTTTTTTTTTTTTTATTTGGATACCGTAACCCCCGTGTGGACTTTTCAAGTTTGAACAAATCAAATTCCCGGAATGTCCTTGGACCTGAATTGACTGACGCATGTGACCTTCGCCCACCAATTCATGCTAAATTTCTACTCCAAATGGTAAATAAACTCTCTAACCTTACTCTTTTATATTCACAAGTAATTCAAAGAAACCAAATCTTATGTAAACATTCAAAAATCTACCATCTTATGTATATTAACCAATTTTTTATTTTATAAAAGTCAATTATTTTTATTACTAGATTGATTCTAATAATCACTTGAAATTTAGGTTTGATTAGCTAAATGATTAAAAAAACTGAATAAATTCCTTTATATACACTTATATAATTATCATAAATAGATTTTAATGAAAGTTAATAAGAATAAGAACAAAACGATTATAGACGACAATAATAGTGGTAAAATAGGTTAGGTTAGTCAGATTCACAAAAATTCATTTGAAGAAATATAAGATTTGAACCTTAAATTGAGTCCTATTTAATGTATATCTTTTTAGTCCGATTTGATTAAAAGTTTGATTTCAACTTTGTATATAAAAATTCCAAATGCCCAAAAAGAGACTTTCACAAGTAAAAAAGAAAAGGACTCTCATTAGGCTTGGGCCTCATTTGCGAGGTTTGAATTCAATTCAGTTTTTTTTAGCCCAATCTACTATAGTTTGTCTTATGCATTGGGTTGGGTATTAATGGCAAAATGGGCTACCCACCATTAATGTGAGTTGCAACCTCTAGTCGATTATCGAAAAATTTAAATTCAATTTGTGCCTTTAAAATTATGCTCAAACCTTATGAAAGCCCATTTTTTCTAGGTTTTTGGTAGGGTTCGATGAGTAAAGTCTGATTAAGGTCATGATCAAATTAGGCTAAGGAGACTTACATTTTATCCACACACTTAAAATTTAATTTTGAAACCCTATTTTCATCAAATGGGTTCAAATTAGTCTGATCAAGCAAATCTATTTTTTGTTTTGTCACTTATAAAGTTGAGTAGCTTGTTTTGACCCCTTTAAAAGATAAAAATAATTGAGGTCATTAATGTACAGATATTAGAAAAATCACATCCATGCTAAATTTGAATATGTATAAAAAAAATGCAATTATTTTGGTTTTACAACAAAATATAATCTACCACAATAATCATGCTTCTTTTAGGGTCGTGTTACCTTATTCGGCCAATTGTCAAAGTATATATTGTGAAAGACCAAAAGAAAGACGTTGAGGCTTAGAGTGCAGAGAATGTAAAAGCAGCAACAACAGATTTACACACCAGATCTATAGTTCAAACTAAGAGATGCATCTAGAGATAAGAAGAACTATATAATGTAAATATAAAAAAAAAATTGTAGTGATAAGAGTCTAGGAGAGTCATACGGCCAATGATGTAAAGAATGAGATGAGTCAAGGGATACAAGGAAGAAGGGATATATAATAAGGGAAATAAGTCTAAAGCATGGAAAGAAAATAATAGAAAAATAATAATATATAAAGTTGAGGAGTTTGTCTAAATTACCCTTGCCGACATCAATGAAAAACAAAGTTATGACTTTTCACTCCTTATTTAACCAATTAACCATTTTTTTCCTCTTTAAAGGACATGAAAAAAAAAAAAAAAAAAAAAAAACCCCCCTGCTCTCTCTCTTTTTTTTTTTTTTTTTTTTTTTTTTTTTAGGGATATATAATAAGGGAAATAAGTCTAAAGCATGGAAAGAAAATAATAGAAAAATAATAATATATAAAGTTGAGGAGTTTGTCTAAATTACCCTTGCCGACATCAATGAAAAACAAAGTTATGACTTTTCACTCCTTATTTAACCAATTAACCATTTTTTTCCTCTTTAAAGGACATGAAAAAAAAAAAAAAAAAAAAACCCACGCATGATCTCTCTCTCTTTTTTTTTTTTCTAATTTTTTTTTTGAATATACACATGTATGCATATATTTTGTTATGTGAATGATATCTTTAATTGCAACTTCATGTTAAAGTCTAAAATTAAATCCCAATTTAATTAAATAATACAAGTTTATACTAATGACTTTCAATATCTATATATTTTAATATCCCCATATTTTTGTTTCTTAAAACAAATTATCGGATATAAGTATCATGTTATATGGTATTTTCTTTTAAAAAAATATATTAAATACTCATAGACATACCATTAAAATATAGATCGATGTCAAGATAGAAAAGAAAAAAAAAATTAAAGAGAAAAAGTGAAATAGAAATTTTATATTAAAAAATTACCTGCGATTTGAGATTTTTATAGAAAGATTAAATAATCAATGGATACTATTATTAAAATTTCCCAATATTTTATAATTTTTTCATTGATTATTTCCATAATTATCTCTTTAGTTAATTGAAAAATGGTCATTATTTTTTTAAAAATAATATAAATGAAAAATAACAATTAATATTGTTTTAATAACGTTCTAAAACAATGAATAAATATTTTTTTTTGTCGAAAGCCGATATTAAAAGAAACGAAGGTAATGACTTTTTTTTTTAAATAAACCACGACTTATACTTTATCTTGATTATGCATGTGAAATACTGAAATTTATCGGTTCGATTAATAAAACAGAGAAGTTAATAAGTTTTCATATATAATTTTACTTAATTATTTTAAATATTTTTTAAAAAATTAAGCTAATAGACTAATGGTCCTCCCAAAAAAATAATTAAGCAAGCATGGCTATACATAATTAGTATTAACGACCAAAATTACAATTGAGACTGCGAAAATACATTTTTTTTTCAATTTTTTTACTTGGATACGATTATAATTAGGTTATATAATTTTTTTTTTATGTTTTGTCTTCTCTATACTTGTATGTTTTTATGATAAATACAATTTAAACATTTTTCTGTATTTATATCCAAATAAGCATCTGGTAAAAAAAAGTATTAAAATAATCATTACAGCAAGAATATAATTGTTGTTTTTTTTCTTTTTCTTTTCCAAAAGGTATAAAACACGACTACACGAGGGGAAAAAACGAATAACAACGAAGAAAAACTACATCCATCTCTATTTAAGATTCCATCTTTTCTAGAAAAAATACCGAATAAAAAAATATGTTTTGTTCAAAATATTCAGCCAAATCTTTTTATAACAAATTAAGAGTTTAATGTATAGATACTGCTAATGCAAAATATTTTTACACAGATATTTAATTGGAACTCACATAATTACCATGTCATATTAATTAATAGAATAATATGATATTAAGATAATCTTTTATTAAATATTGAAAGAGTTATTTAATTTAGATTAAACGATTAACTGTATTTTAAAATGAGATCAAATAAAGTAGCTAAATTATGTTTTTAACTCAAGCTCAATTTTTCACGAAACAGTAAAATACTTTTTTTACAATCAAATGTCATTTTGAAAAAAAAAAATTTACATGAAAAACGTAAAAGGGAAAAGTTATAAAATTGTTTTTTTTTACCATGGAATGTGTTTTCGAAAAATAACTGAGTTGAAAAGGGCAAGAGAGGAAAAATGTAACATTTTGTTGAAAGGATTCAATTGTCAATTAAAAGAGAAACGACTCCATTATCGGAAAAGCCGGAAATGGTAGTGGTGGAGGTGTTATCTAGGGATTGAAAGAGAAAAAAAATGAAAAATATAGCATCTTAAAAGCACCAAAAAAGCAAGGAAGTTGTTACTTCTTTATTTCTGTAAATAAAAAAAGGTCAAATTTTAGTCGAGGAACGCGCATAAAATTAGCAGAAAAATCGGTAACATTTTCTTTAATATACTTTTTTTAATGCTTTTATTAAATTTATTCATTAATAATTTGTTATAAAAAATTTAAATGAACATTTTACATTTTTAATTTTTGAACTTTGACCACTGGCGGGGTTTCTGTAAATTTAATGTTACATTCAATAGTTTGTAACTTATACTCATGAGGCAGTTAGACGTTTTCAAATATTGTTACGCATCATGACAAAGGAAAGTGAGTTACCTATGAAAAAATATTTTTAAAAGTAAAATAAAAAAATAATAATGTAAGCAATTATTTAGAATTCATTAATAACAGTTATTAAAAATATTTCTTTTTTTAAAATTAAGGGTATAATCGTTTACAATTATGGAGACAACAAATAATTATAAAAAAAATGTTTCCTTTATCTACATACTAGTGAGGTCAGGCACTTCGTGCTACTATTAAAAATAAAATAAAAATAAAAATAAAATAATATTTTTATCTCATTTTTTAAAATAAAATAATATAATAGTCAATAAAATGTAGAAACTGAAATAATTACTAAAAAAAAAGTATCTCCTTTATATATACTAGAGGATGTGAGACATTTTGTGTCTCTAATAGTTATACATATACAAAATATTAAAAAATTGCATCTAATTATTTAGAAAGGATATAAGTTTTTTTATTTTTATATTCAAGAGAAACAATGATCCACTAAATAGTGGAGATGGAGATCAAAAAAATTTACATACCTATCCCTTTTATAATAAGTTATATATATATATATATATATATATATATATTATTTAAAA